GAGAATTTCGAACTCAACCGTCTTGTAACTATATGACAAATATTTGTAACAACGATTTAAGATTACAAAATCTTCTACCTTGCCCGTTATCAATTTCAATCTTAAAAATGTCAGAAATTAGAATTTTGTTCAGAAAAGCCGAGTTCACTTCTTTCTCTAAATCTTCTATAAAAAAAATCTCACTTTTGTTTGATTCTCCACTTTTATTAATTCATCTATCTCAGGATTCAGTTTTTTTTTTTTTTTTTTTTTTTTTTTTTTTTTTTTTTACGCATTTATTAGTTCGGCCTCACTGAAATTATTTGCAACAATTTTAAGGAATAATAAATTACTTCTACCTTTAGCAGAAGTAGAAGTTAAATTACGCTTACGCATTACAGCTTTTTGAAACAGTTTCTTATCTTCTCTTCAGGAGCGTTTTCCAGACAATTTTTCCCAGCGCATTTCATTCCTTTGACACCAGTTCTTCCTTTTCTTGGATCGACTTCATCTTTCTGATTCAAAAGCAGTATTAAATTTATTAGTTTTCTTTCAGATTCACTAACAAATGACGCCACACGCTCGGGAAAGATTTTTTTACAGCTACCGGCAAAAGCGTTTTGGTTTGTGACAGCAACCAAAACGCTTAAAACTTTCAAGAAGTTTAAAATTTGAAGCCTTAAAACTTTCAAAAAGATTTTATTCACTTTTGTTTCTTCCTGCGCCACATTTCTCAAACGCGTTGTAAAAAGCATCATCCTCAGCAACCGTAATGCCAGCAGCAGCGCTGGAGGTTAGGTTTTAGAAGTTATAAGGTATTTTCTCCCTCCTTTTCGCATGTCTTCGTGGTGCAATTGGAAGCCCACTCGATGCCTATTCGAAAGGTCTAGGGTTTGAGTCCCGGCAAGGTCACTGCATATTTTTCATGTCTGCTGCTTCAAAATAATCTGATGACGCTACAAAGTAAAAAATTAACAAATACATAAAGACTACAACTATGTTAATAATTGAGTACTCTGAAGGTAGTGATTGATCATAACTCCATATGAAAATCATAAAAATACAAGAATTGCGTTAAATATAAGTGCAAGATTCAAAATTATAACAAGACTGCCCAGCCCAACATCAACTGCTGCCACCAGCCATCCCCACACTTGGCAAGCTAAGTTTTTATTCTTCACATTTTATAATGTTTTATATTTTTTTAAATTATGTCATTTTACATCCTGATATATGCTCCCTTTATCCCTCTGTATTTGTTAATAATGCATTACTTAATTAAGACACAATAACATGCCGAATAAATACTAATTCAGAAGTCAAACAACAAAAATCAGCGTTATATTTACAAAATTTTCACAGGACTAGTTTCGATGGTTTTACTGAACCACCACCCTCAGCTGCAAAACCGCAAATGAACAAGATAGGAAATAATGATTAGATAAGATAAGAAAGCCTGGACAAGAATAAGCAAGTGGCGCCATCTGTTGGTGAAACCAGAACTAAAACGTAATTTCTTTAAAAGCCGAAGGCAAATTTGGATTGGAATTAGGATCGTTAACCAGAACAGAAGGATTTTTATGAATGTGAAATGCCTCTAGAAATCCAGTTCTCCAATGGAAGATGTTTTTTCAATAATTTTGGCAGCAGAAAAATTGAAAGTGTGATTTTCGGACCAACAATGTTGAGCATCAGAAGACTTCTGTGTTTCCTTTTTTCTAACATATGCCTCATGTTCCTTGACGCGAAATTTTATGGCTCTCCTAGTTTGGCCAATGTAAATTAAACCACACTGGCAAGGAATCCTATTAATACCACAGAAATTCATATCCGGAATGGGGTCCTTGAGTATGGAACTCGGAATTTTATTGATGGGAGAATAAACAACCCGAAAGTTAAATTTCTGCAAAATATGTGCAACTTTATAGCTAATTGATGGAAAGAAGGGAATGACAACAGAATTTTTATAATCTCCTAAAACAAGAGTGTGCCTTTTAGTGTGTTGAGATGAGAATTTTTTAACTGCTTGATTAATAATGTTGGGTGAAAAGCCCCTGTCAGGAGCAAACTTGAAGAGCACGGAAAACATACAAATAAAATGAAGCTAACTTTTGTTTAGTCGGATGACATGATTTAAAGTGTGGTGGAAGGCAAACCGATGAAGGTTTACGGTAAACCGTAGTACTGAAGTTGGATGTGTTACGTATGACCAGAATGTCGAGAAACGGAAGAGAATTGCAAGTCTCAAGTTCAAAAGTGAACTGAATAGCAGGATCAATAGAATTCACTGTTGAAAGATTTTTATTTAAATCATCTTTATTACCTTCAAACATGGTAAAAGTATCGTCTATGAAGTGGAACCATACCGGGAAGTTTAAAGTTTCAAACAATTTTGATTCATAATAATGCATGTAGATATCAGCCAAGATGGGACTGAAGGGGCTTCCCATGGCTAATCCCTCAGTTTGCTTGTAATATTTATTTTGGAAAACAAAATGTGTTTGTTTCAAACAGAGTTGAGTGAGAGAAATTAGCTCATCAATTTCGATGCAAGAGAAATGAAATTCGCGAAGTCTGGTTTCTAGACATCTTAATGCACCCTCCACTGGGACATTGGTGAATAATGATTTTACATCAAAAGAAACCATGAGTAAATTAATTACTAGGAGAAATGTTTTTAACTTTTTTTACAAACTCTATTGAATTTTTTTTTTTATGGTTGTAAATGTTATTGTCTAATAGAGTTGAAAATCTAGAAACTAGAAACTAAATATTTAGCTAATGGATACGAGGCAGTACCTAAATTTGATACAATAGGGCGGAAAGGAATACCACTTTTATGAATTTTGGGAAGAGCATATACTAATCTGGCACAATTTGCCCCAAACAGGCTTAATTTTTGCACGTGGTGTGGCCGCCATTTTGTGATTGCATGAGTTTCGGTAAGTACTTTTTTGCAATTTTCAAGTTATGTTTATGTTTTGTAGATTTGTATATTGTGCTTTGCTTGTCTGATTTCATGTATTTTGCTTACAAATGTTTTGCTTTCTATTCATTTCAGTGAGGGATTTTTATGCTGTTTTGTGTGTGCTTTATTATTGCTTAGTTAATTTAGTTTGATTTTCTTCATTGTTTATCATGCCTTCATCCGTTAATCGTTTCACTAAATTACGCCTGAAACGGCAAAAATTCCTGAATCATCTTGACTTTTTACTTAAATGTAAATGTAAAAAATTGATCCCCAATTTTATTCAAATCAAATCTAATCAAAAACCTTCGAATCACCTTTCAAGAATTCTGTTAAATTGCAAGCTTGCCTTACTTCGGTCCGTCATAAGGGGTACACGTCAACAATTGTCCAAAATTGAACATGAACTCTATAAGCTTCATTTGGAACTCGCTAAATCATGTCCAAAATTCACTGCCCTTGAACAAAACTCTTGGTCTAGAACGGAGAATGCAGTTAACCGTCATAAAAACACCCTTGCAGTTAAATTTGAAAAACTTCTTTTACAGTCTTCCAGTTCAAGTAGTTCAAAACATCTTCCCATTGTAAACAGTAAGCCAATACTTAATATTTCTAATGTTACTCTTTCAGAAGAACAAGAGAGAATTCTAAAATATAATTTTAACTTTTCACAAACCTGTAAACCCTCAATTCCAAAGATTTTGGCTCCTATCGAAAAAGCTTTCAAGTGCAGTCAAGTTTCGGATTCACAGAAAGAAATAATTAGGCATCTTATCGCTCATAATGTGAAATTCAATAATAAACCTTTGAAACCTACATGCATTATTCTGAATCAAAATTGTTTGAAACTTTAAACTTCTCGGCATGGTTCCGCTACATAGACGATACTTTTACCCTGTTTGAAGGTAATAAAGATGATTTAAATAAAGTTCTTTCAACAATGAATTCTATTGATCCTGCTATTCAGTTCACTTTTGAACTTGAGACTTGCAATTCTCTTCCGTTTCTCGACATTCTGGTCATACGTAACACATCCAACTTCAGTACTACGGTTTACCGTAAACCTTCATCGGTTTGCCTTCCACCACACTTTAAATCATGTCATCCGACTAAACAAAAGTTAGCTTCATTTTATTTGTATGTTTTCCGTGCTCTTCAAGTTTGCTCCTGACAGGGGCTTTTCACCCAACATTATTAATCAAGCAGTTAAAAAATTCTCATCTCAACACACTAAAAGGCACACTCTTTGTTTTAGGAGATTATAAAAATTCTGTTGTCATTCCCTTCTTTCCATCAATTAGCTATAAAGTTGCACATATTTTGCAGAAATTTAACTTTCGGGTTGTTTATTCTCCCATCAATAAAATTCCGAGTTCCATACTCAAGGACCCCATTCCGGATATGAATTTCTGTGGTATTAATAGGATTCCTTGCCAGTGTGGTTTAATTTACATTGGCCAAACTAAGAGAGCCATAAAATTTCGCGTCAAGGAACATGAGGCATATGTTAGAAAAAAGGAAACACAGAAGTCTTCTGTTGCTCAACATTGTTGGTCCGAAAATCACACTTTCAATTTTTCTGCTGCCAAAATTATTGAAAAAACATCTTCCATTGGAGAACTGGATTTTCTAGAGGCATTTCACATTCATAAAAATCCTTCTGTTCTGGTTAACGATCCTAATTCCAATCCAAATTTGCCTTCGGCTTTTAAAGAAATTACGTTTTAGTTCTGGTTTCACCAACAGATGGCGCCACTTGCTTATTCTTGTCCAGGCTTCCTTATCTAATCATTGTTTCCTAACTTGTTCATTTGCGGTTTTGCAGCTGAGGATGGTTCGGTAAAACCATCGAAACTAGTCCTGTGAAAATTTTTAAATACAACGCTGATTTTTGTTGTTTGCCTTCTGAATTAGAATGCATTACTTATGTTAATAGTATTATTTAGCAACTTATGTATGGCAACAGTACTAGATATTCAAGTTATAGAACGATGTAACAACGCGAGGAGCGATATTGTTTTATAGCAGGTTTAAAAGAAATTATTTGAAACAGAATATAAAAATCCTGAATTTGTTCAAGATTTACTAGCAACTGCTATTTCGGATCGTAAATTGTTAGAGCAAAAGCAAATTGAAAAGAATAAGCTGGATTATAATCTTCAAAAAATGAGAATAGAGCGAGAACTTCAAAAAGCAAAAATGGATTATGAACTGGAATTGGCAAGAATCCAAGCACAGAATCAAAGTGAGTCATTTCCATCTACACTGGTGTGCAAAAATTAAGGACGAAGTCGAAAAATTAGCATATCAGCTGAACGAAGAGGCAGAGCGGACAGAAAGACCAATCAGGAGATTAAGTAAGGTGATGTACGGTAGCACATGCGCAGATATGCAGGTAGACGTAATGGTGGAGTGTCTGAGTAGTATAAAGCATGTTGTCGGTGTAAGATCAGTATTTCTGGCAAAGAGATTGCACGCCGTATAGCAGTTAAAATCACACCGAGTTGCTGCCTCAGCGAGAAATGGCGAATAATCAGTCTGTTAGATGACATCTGGATGCTTTTACCCGAGGTCGAATCATTGGGAAGTTGGACGAAGGCCGCAGTGTGACTGCAGAGTTCGGAATTGCTCACAACATCGTTTCACGACTTTGGAGACAATTTCAAACTACAGGAACAGTTATCCGGGGGTTTAGTAGTGGTCGTCCACGAGGAATCACACCCGCAGATGACCGGTATATTGCCTTACAGCCAGAAGAAACAGGCGGCAGACAGCGGGAGAAATCGCTAGACACACGACACAGGCGACTGGACGATCCAGTCAGAAGACTGCACGGTGATGGTCTGTTTGCACGACGCCCTGTACGGTGTGTACCTCTAACGACTGCCCATCGGAGAAGGCGTTCTCTGTGGTGCCGGGAACACCGGAATTGGAGAGAGGAGAGACAATGAATGGGGACGAATACTCTTTACAGATGAGAGCAGATTCAGTCTGAGTAGCGATTCTCATCGCATACTCATCTGGAGAGAGCGGGGAAGCCGCAATCATCCCTTGAACATCATTGAAAGGGACAGGTATGGAGGTGGCGGTGTTCTCGTTTGGGGAGGCATCATGCTTGGTAGTCGTACAGACCTTCACATCTTCGACGCAGGTTCAGTCAACGGGACCCGTTATTGTAACGAGATTCTTCTTCCATATGTGCGTCTTTTTAGAGGCGCTGTGGGTCCGCAGTTGCTTTTCATGGACGAGAATGCACCATGTCATCGCACAGTAGCTGCCGACCAGCTCTTAGAGAGTGAGTGATTGGCCGGCACGATCTCCGGATCTCAATCCCATCGAGCATGTATGGGATTTTCTAGGCAGACGCTTGGCAGCTCTTACCTTACCACCAGTAACGATTCCGGAGCTTCGATTGGCGCTGCAAGACGAATGGGCAGCAATGCCTCAAACCCTAATTGACACCCTCATTCTCAGCATGGGCAGACGCTGTGAAACCTGCCTAGCAGTCAGGGGAGATCATATCCCCTATTAAAGACCGGATGTTTCTTGCTGGACACCCATTACAGGGGTGGTGTGGTGTGGTGTATTTAATTATGGCAAAGCTCACTAGGGCTATCTGCCTAAGGGAAGGGATGCCTTCGTGGAGGACTTTCTGAGGGAAACTGGCTCGTATACACGTTACACATGGGGAAAACTACGAAGACACCCATGCAGCCAGCCCGTTCGCGGGATTCGAACCTCGGACCGAACTACCAGTGTTCAGCGAATTTACCGCTCGGCCGCTGGTGGGCCCCCATCACAGGGATGTTTCGGCCTTCAGTCGCATTGCGCTCCATGCTACTTTTTCAATAAAGCTTCGTTTTATCCGTCTGATTTCTCTTTTAGTAAGTGTTGCTTACATTACTCATGTCCTTACGTATTGGGGATCTTACGGTGTTAAATGTGTTGATTTGGAAAGCTTTTGTACAAAGTTATATTGAAAAAAACCGTCTCGTCCTTAATTTTTGCACACCAGTGTATTTCTGTTTCTGATGTAAATAGGTCGAAACGAAAGTTTACTTTGCTTAGATTAGAATTTAGACAATTTGAGGATAATATTAAAGACTGACTTCCTCTTTGGAGTCAGTTTGAGCAAATTCATAAAGATAATGAATGATATTGACCCTGAGGACAAATTCCAGTATTTAATTCAAGCTACCGTGTCGAGTTCCTGCGCTAGAGAAGTGTTCGAGAGTTTTCCGCCTGTCAGTGCTAATTATGAAAGGGGCTGTGGAAAGTTTAAAATCCCGTTTTGGTAGGGAAGATATTTTAGTCGAAGTGTACGTTAGAGAGTTATTGAAATTAATCGTAACTGTTCAAACTAAGGAAACGTTTTCATTCACTTCTTTGTACAATAAACTTGAATCTTATTTACGTTCTTTGGAAAACATTAAATGTGACAACTGATAAATGTGCCTCTATATTATATCCAATGGTTGAGTCCTGCTTTCCAGCAGATTTTTTAAAAGCATAGAATCGTAGTAATTCTTCCGATTCTAAAACGGAAGCGAAGGATCGATTAAACAATTTAATGCAGTTTTTTGAGATCCGAAGTAAAGGTAGAGGAAAGAATATGCTTAGCTGTAGTTGGTTTTGGTTTAGGGAAGCATCAAGATAATAATAATAAGCCAGTAAAAAAGAAGCATTCTAGTGCAGAATGTTTACGTAGCAAGACACCGACATCTGCAGCGCTTATTAACAGCTGCTTCTGGTTCCAAGACTACGAAATCGTGCGTTTTCTGTGATGGTAAACATTTCAGTTCTGACTGTTCTTCCGCGCAAAAAAAATGAGTTTATTGGAGAAGCAAAAAATTTTAAAGGAAACGCTTTGCTGCTATGCTTGTTTATCACCAGGTCATACAGTAAAGAAATGTCGAGCTTGATTTGCTCTAAAAAGCATGTGCCTTTAATGTGTGATGTGCTTGATACACAAATCAAAACTGTCCACCCTAAAAACGAAGAAAAACCGATAGACGGCGAAGTTAACTTGTCCAATTTCAAAAGACATACTCCTAGAGGTTTTCTTCAAACTTTGATAGCGAACCTTATTTCTGCTGGTACACAGAAGAAGATTACTTTTAGATTCAGCTTCGCATAAATCATACATTTTAAAAACTGTAGCTGAAGAAATGAAATATTTCCCGGTTCGTCAGAAAAGTATGATACATTCTCTTTTCGGGGGTGTTTTGACAAATGAGTTGAAACATAATTGCTATAAAATAAAATTAAGAAGTTCGAATGAAAAGTTTACCTGCAATTTTGAAGTCCTAGATCAAGCTACAATTTGGGACAATGTTCGGCCTGTGTTTAAAGGCCCTTGGATTAGAGAGCTAGAAGAAAATGGCATAATTTTAACAGATGTCATTGTTAATTGCGAAACCATTCATATTCTCGTCGGAGGCGACATAATGGGAGTGTTGTTATGCTAAAATAGGAAAATTTTGTCTTCGGGTCTCGTTGTTGTAGAAACTAGTTTAGGATGGACATTAATGGGTAAGGTGCCAGTAGAAGAAGCTCTCGCCATTGCATTCCTAAACTTAGCAATGCAATGGCGGTGACATCAGTGTTTATAAATGAAACTGAAGTTTTAAGGTCTATGGAGATTGGATTTAATAGGAATAAATGACCCTGTAGAAAAGAAATCTAAACATGAGATTGATCTTCTGACCAAAGAACATTTTTTAGAAACCGTTACAGTAAATAATGATGGTCGGTATGAAATTTGCTTACCTTGGGCTGATGATAAATCACCTTTACATGATAAGGATACCACCTATCCCTTACTTTGAGCTAAAAAGAGGCGCGAGTACACCACTTCGAAACTTTTAGCAATGAATTCGTATCAACAACATGAAAATGTATTTTTAAGTTGCATTGATGAAGGTATAGAAAATATGCCCACTTCTGAAGTGAACTTTTATGGTAATTACTTACCTCATCGCCCTGTCCTAAAGGAAAGCAGCAGTACCACACTTATTAGTCCAGTGTTTGATACTTCAGCGAGGTTGACAAATCATCCTTCTCTGAACCAATGCTTCCGGTGCGGTCCTAATTTAATCGAACTTATTCCAGACGTCCTACTGCGATTCAGAGAGCGGCGATATGGAGTCATAGCGGACATTAGAAAAGCCTTTGAACAAATAAGTATTCAAAAAGAGGATAGAGACTTTCTGCGATTTTTATGGTGGGAAAACATGGAAGAGAAGAAGCTCAGAGATTTTCGACATGCCAGGCTTGTTTTCGGTGCAAAATGTAGCCCTTTCCTTCTGGCCTCAGTTATTAAGCACCACACTGAAAACATCGAAGATCTTGAAGCTGCTTTTAAAAAGAGACTGTTGCAAAGTTTCTATGTCTACAATGTCGTTACTAGTGTTGACACTAAACAACAGTTGGAAAAGTTGGTTTCCGATTCTAAGATATGATGTCCAAAGGCGGTTTTGACCTAAGAGGATGGGAATATTCTGATATAAACGATAAGAAAGAAATACAGGTATTAGGTCTGCTTTGGAATAAAGAACTGGATACTCTGAAAATCAATATGGGATGGTTGAATGACTTTAATTTGGAAAAGATAACCAAACGAAGCATGTTATCTGTGGTTCATAGGGTATTCGATCTTTTTGGTTTTTTTCTCCCCCGTTATGCTCTGTCCAAAAATAATGTTACAAAACGCATGGAAGAAAAGTTTCAGTTGGGACGAGGAGTTGATTGGCGAACTTCGTAAAGATTGCTTACAATGGCTTGAAGAATTGAAATGCTTACGTGAAATTGAAATTCTCAGATTTATTCAATTCGCTTCAGAAAATTTAAGTAAGTGCGCTCTTCACACTTCTGTTGATGGCAGCAAAGACGCTTATGCAGCGGTTACGTTTCTAAGGATTGAGAACAACGATCGAGTTGAACTGTTTCTTCTTGCTGCAAAATCTCTAGTTGCTCCTTTAAGAGGGGCCACTATCCCAAGAAAGGAGCTTTTGGCAGCCGTAATTGGTGCCAGACTGACAGATTCAGTAACTAAAGCCATCGGATGGGAAAGAGTTAACAAATATTACTGGAGTGATTCCACAACAGTGCTCGCATGGATTAAAAGAGATGAAAACTGGTCTATTTTCGTGCGAAACTGTGTTAAGGAGATCAGAGAACTCAGTAAACCTTCAGCTTGGAAGCACGTTCCTGGAGAAAGAAATCCTGCTTATCTGCCATCCAGAGGTTGCAAGGCGAAATATCTAATTACATCAAGATGGTGGGAGGGACCACACTGGATGAAAGATCGGACATAATTCCTTAATTACATGGATTTCTGTAACCACCATAGCTGGAATGAAGAAGAGATTGAAAGGGAGAAGTTGAAAACTACTAGCACGATGACAAATAATGAAACCGTTTGTGATAATTGGAACTACAGGCGTTTTTCTAATTATGAGAGAATCGTACGTATGGTCGCCTAGATTCTTCGTTTTAAGCATAATTGTACAAATACCGAAAGCAGGAGATACGGAGAATTGAATGCAATAGAATTTCGTGAAGCAGAGTTAAAGATATTACGTATGATTCAAAACGAATCCCTTGATTTGGAATATGATAGACTCAAAACACTTCAGGTATTTAAAGATGATCATGGAATCTATTGTGTAAAAACTAAGATTATTTACAGGAAGGATAGTGAAGATTTTCTGAAACCGGTTGTCCTTTCTTCAAAACACGAAGTTGTGAAACTACTTATTTTCTCTGTTCATGTGAAGAATTTTCACGCAGGTGGTCAGGATACTTTTGAATCTGCTTAGAGAAAAATATTGGATTCTTAACAGAAGAAACACTGTGAAAAACATTGTGGCTAATTGCACAATCTGTAAAAGATATAGTTAAAGGAACATGGAAACGATATGCACATCCCTTCCTGAAAATCGTGTTAAAGATGCTGCGGTATTTCAAATTGTAGGGGTTGACATGGCTGGTCCTCTGTTTCTAAAAGAAAGTAGAAAGAGTTGGGTGTTAATATTCACTCGCGCAGTGTACAGAGCGGTATATTTTGAGCTAATTACTGCCGCTTCCACAGACGCCTTTTTAATGGCATTTAGAAGATTTATAGCTCGCAGAGAAAGATGTACTATTGTATACTGTGACAATGGATCTAATTTTGTCGGAGCAGCCAATTCATTAAAACAACTAGATTGGAACTGTATACAGAAACATGGAGTCGTCAATTCGATTGACTGGAAGTTTAACCCACCGACTGATGGGGCGGTTGGTGGGAGCGACTAATGAGAATGTTGAAAGATCTCCTTAAAAAGAGTGTTAGGAAAGGCTCATCTAAATTATGAAGAAATGACAACTGCTCTGGCAGACTGTGAGAGCGTAATCAACTCAAGACTTCTGACTTATATCTCTGAAGGAGATGTGATAAAGCCCATTTCTCCATCGATGTTTCTTCAAGACATTCATGAATGCAGTGTTCCAGCTATTGATGCTAGAGCAAAATTCTTTGTCTAAAAGACTCAAATACAGACAAATCATGCTTAAAGAATTGAGGAACCGATTTCGGTCGGAATACTTAGGTGCTCTTATTCAACAAGGGAACAATAAAAAAAACTAAGACACCCAGTGGCTATGGATGATATTGTACTAGCTGATAACAAAAAGAGCATTAACTGGCCTTTAGGTCGTATTAGTGAGCTTGTTCCAGGTAAAGACGGTAATGTGCGGCTTGTGAAAGTGCAGACTTTACACCAAGAACTTCTTCGTCCTATTCAGAGAATATATCCTCTTGAGATAGCATCTCCTACTGACTGTCCTAAGCCTGTAGTTTGACCAAGTTCTCAAAGCGGCCTGTTAAACAGGATAATGGTGTGTTTGAGAACAAGAAAAATTTAGTAGGAATGGTAGAAAAATTAAGACTCCAGAGAAACTAGACTTATAATTTAAATAAGTGCTGTAGTGAAATACTTTTTTTATTGGTTGTTATTATTATTTCTTATTACTGGAGTGTATTCCTGTGTTTTATTTATTTAGTATCTTTAATGGTAATTTTATGTTTTGATTATGGTTTATAATCAAAAGGTGGGAGGATGTTAATAATGCATTACTTATTTTGTTAGTATAATTTAGGAACTTATGTACGGCAACAGTACTAGATATTAAAGTTTGAGAACGATGTAACAACGCGAGTAGCGCCATTGTTTTCTTTCGTGATAATAAAGTTTGTTTTCGTTGAAACTGATTCTATTGTATAAATAATCACTGCAGTTATAGTGTTTTAATGATAGAGACTATTCTTAAATCTATGATGCGAGTCTTTAATTAAAGGCTACTTCGTGCTGAAGTGTGATTTTAAGTACTGAAAGCTGAAAAAGTCGGTGATACTTTTTTCTTGTAAGCTTTAACAGTATTGAAAATATCGTCCAGTAGATAACTTATAGCAAACTTTCCTTTCTACTTCTATTATACTTTATGATTGGCGTATTTTCTAATTGTGTAATATCCAAATGTTTCCTAAACAATGCTTTTCCCTTGCATATATATTTTTCATACTTTTATCGCTTACCACTTTAATAAACTCTGCTTCGCAACCGATATGTAAATGACGTTTTGCACTATTTTTGCAGTACGACTATAAAAATGCCTTGCCTAGAACCAATACGTGTACAGAAAAAGTGAAGCAGCTGGTTTGATGCCGGTGGTTTCTCACACGAAAAGCTTTAATGACTGAGTAGGTTTGGGGAATAAGAGAAAAAGGAAAACAGTAGTATCCATGTTTGTTAACGAAATCATTAGGCAGAAACGATATTAAGAATGAGCAGGCTGAGGTTCATGCAAACTGTATAAAACAGCGCATTTTATTTGAAAAACAGAGAATATTCGTACTCAACGTATATACAAAAATCCGGACATTGCAAACTGCCTCTTTAGCAAGGGAAAATGTGAATCCATTTGGCTCCCAAGTTAATTCTATCCACCTTTTTATATATATATATAAAAGCTAAGTATTTATTTTATTTATTAACTGATGGGAAAAAACAAAAACAAAATCGATTTTTCAGTCGTCGCAAAAGTTTTCATAACTTCAATACTTAGACCTTTTAAACAAAAAAGATTTGTTTCTCTACTAAAATGTATTCCTATGTTCAGAGATTTTAGCTCAAATAAAATTAATATAAAATAATTTTGTGTTAGTGAAAGCTTCTTAAGCATCTGGAATATAGAATATTCGATTTCATAAAAATCAAAACAAGACTTTACATTGCCTGTCAACATTATCCTAAAACTATGCTCTTGTCAAAAAAACCTCGCCTGATTTTAAAAGTTCAAGGGAAAAAAATCTGCCTTTGTATCAAAATGCCTTTAATTTGAAAGAAAATATAGTTACCACCTAAACCAGCGGTTCTCAACCTTCTGGCTAACGAGTACCATCTAAACAAGCGGTTGTCAACGTTTTGACTAACTCGTACCATCCAAACAAAAATTGAAAAACTTTAGTACCACCACTACATTTTACAATGATTATTTTTCAATTTTTCAACAGAAATATTAAAAAGAATATAGTATATATTTTGTCATTTGTACAACCTATTGGCTATTTCTATTAAATATGCACGCATAAAAATATTAGATAAAAAATTGGTTACCATTTTAATATCAAAATTTAAGTTATAGTACTTTAATTCAAAAATTTAGCGTGAGATTTGGGCCTGTTTAAGAGAAACCAGTTTCTTTATGTCTAGTCTTATATGTTTAGCTTCAACCGTAAATTAGGACCCACTTTTAATTTCATTCTGTATTTATTTTTCAATTAAAACATGGAAGAAAATCCTTGTTCACACAAATAGGTTGTGCAAAAAGCCAATAAAAATTTAATAGCTTTATTTGAAATGCCTTTAATTCTTTTTTTCGCTTTAGCCAAACGTTAACAAGTGTGTTATTTTGAAATCTTGAGTTAGAGTTCGATCGCAGGAAATTTCTATGAATTGTTCTTTTTCTTCACGAGATTTTTGAATTTAATAGCTAAAAGTACTTTGTTTCTTTTCGTACTACCGATTGAGAATCTCTGATCTAAACAAAAACTGAAAACCTTTAGTACCACCACTCTTGAACAAAGCTCAGATCGCATAAATTTACGAACGTTAGAGAAAAAAACTCAATCAGGATGTTGGAGTTTTAATTTTTGAATTTAGTTATTTAATTTTGAATTTAATTAGTTAAAAATACTTTACTTGTTTGCGTACCACCTATTTTTCTCTTGCGTACCACCGGGTGAGAGAGAACCCCTGTCCTAAACTATGCATATATATAGTTTAGGAGCTATCTATATTCTTGCTCCTTATGTGATCGATTTCTCTCATAAATATTGCAGTAAACCCTAACAATGAAGCTATCACTGTAAAACATTTTAAGCTGCAAAATTTCACGATTTTCCCAATGAACGCATCGTTAGTTTTTTTCTCCTCAGCAATAACATAACTATTCTACTTCAAATTTATTGAACTAATGTTTCGATGTTTTTGCATCGTCCGTTTCATTTAATATTTTCTAACAACAAGTCAAATAAGCATTTCTATTTCATACAAGGAACTGAAAGCTAAGCATTTTAAAAGAATTTCTCTATTTTTACTCAGAACTACTTCCTTTTGGAAGAACGGATCCAGGTGACGAGATAATGTGCGCAATTCCGTTCCGCTTTACGATGAGCTTGCAGGGTTAAACTTCGTGCAACGAAAGAAAAGTCTACTGCTGGCATCTCATGGATCATTTCTGTTTTTGACAAACTTCTAAAGGAAAGGTAATTATTGCAGAATCTAGCTATTAAGTTACTTGTTTGTTTCTAATAGTTTGCTTTACATTGTCAATGTTTTGAATGTGTGCTATGTCTATGTATATATGTGTACACATACACACATACAAGATAGCACAAATGTTTTCATGCAAACATTGGCTTTTATTAAGACGTAGTTCTTGGTATGTATTTGAAGATATCACTTGCTGTGTTACTGAAATTTATTAGACGCCGCACTTTTAGGATTAGGACGCCGCACTTATGTGCCATAACCTCAGTGACAAGTAAACATAGAAACTACAATTTGCAGAGTTGTACGGAGATTTTTGTGCCACTTTATGTATAATAAATATGAATAAATTATTTGAACTTTTCCTGTATGTTTAGAAAGGTAATATAACTACCCGGTTACATTTTCTTCAACAGCATCTTATATTTTAAAAAATGTTTAATCCTTCACAAAATTACAATACTCAGAGCATATGGTTCAAAATTCAAACTATTCAAATTTCAGTATTCAATATTTCAAACTGTTTTATTCGTTTATAGAACAGCATGCAGTTAGCATATATTTTATCTGCAAGTTGACTGATAAGCGAGTTAAAAGTCGTTTAGGCATGTTTCACTTAATCTGGAACGAAACATGCTCTAAACGTGGATCGGAGTAAAACAGTCTGTTGCTAAAGAAATTATTTTCTGGTAAGCAAGTGTTGAGAAGCTATTTTAAAACTAGGTTTCAAAATAATCATTTTACTAGAAGTTGATAATAATTAAATAGAAAGCAAGTGAAAAATATTGCAAAGAAAAAAATATTTCTGTAACAAAAGCTATATATTCTCTAGACAAGCGTAGAACTAAATGTGAATGTTTCTAAATTTAAGGGTTCATAAATTATGTGGGACACCACTTGTGCCGAAACTGAAGTTGCTTAAGATTTCCAAGCAAAATTTAATGTTATCGGGTCAAAAGAGCTGAGACAGGTATTTTTAGCCACAAACATATACTTTTATATGTCCCGAGGTTCTCAAAGGTTTTGTACATGGTGTATTAAGCAAGACGTATATATATATATATATAGAGAGAGAGAGAGAGAAAAGAATGTATAATACTTTCAGAAGAATTTGTATCCTCTCTCTCATCTTCATAGTAACCGCAAAAGATCTAGATAAACAGAGTTTTGAGAACAAAAAAATGAAATTCAAAGGGCCCTAAGATGTTCTTGAAAATTCTATGTTTTAGGAATCGGACAGCTTGTACGATAAAATATTTCTATTTTAGCAAGATTCAGCTTCTTGTCACGCTATCAATCCATTACGATATGTCTCGCATAAATAAAAAATTTAAGTCATTAATTTTTTTCTTGTCCTCTAAAAATTCTGCAGATTAAAACTCTATTCCGAATTAAAGGGAAATTTAAACCTATTCGCCGCAAGAAGAAAAAGTAAACTTTTTGTTTAGTCTAAAGATCACACAAGCATATCTTCATTAAAAACTATGAATTGCTAAAAATTGTTTATATGCCTTTCAAAAAAACTATGTATTATAATGCTCTATAATCATCCTTTTACTCATGTCTTGACTTTGTATATATGCAGTGTTTTCACTTTAAAACAGGTACTAAAAAAAATCATTACATGGGTATTTTATTTCTATTTGACTTTTTTTTCAGTTCTGTTCACTGTTACATGAATTTCTGTACATTGTTTTAGGAGCAGAGTAGAGAGGGAGGGAGAGAAGAGAGCATTTAAGACAACTGCAACAAAGGACGGAATTTGAACAATTAAGTCAAATAACAAAAATACAAGGCTCAAATAATGATTTGGTCCCGTAACTGTTTTTAAATACGTCCACCATATTTTCGCGCTTTTCTAGAATTCTGAGCCAACTCAAAATTATTCTAACACTGTGAATGTTTTCTAGTTATATTTTTTATTTAATCTGTGACATTTTAAAGTATCTATTGATTTATCTAATCTTTTCTTACCTAATCTTTTTATTTATCCAATTTTTCTGGAAAAAAATCTACTGATTTCTT